TACCCCTTTGAAAGCGCGACGAAAATGTTCGATTAAGGTCAATGAATCTGAGTAAATATTTAATCTTGAATGAGCACTCGAATTCTGAGCAAATGCCAAGGGTGTAATTTGCTGATCCTTTAACTATGTTTTACACATTCATTAATAATAAGAGTAGCACCACTCCCCCCCCCCCCCAAAAAAAAAAGTAGAAAAAAAATAAAAAAAATAGAAGTACTGATATCGGTCAAAGCAACGATCAAACATTTTAAAATTACTTAGCTGATTTGAATAATGTTCAAAGAAAAAAAGGGGGGGGGGGGGGAGAAAAGGAAATACAATGCAGTAAGAACGAGGGAGAATGCAAAGTCTTTTTTTTTCTGCTGAAAGTTCACTGTGGGGATGAAAAAATAAAGAATCAAGTGCCTTAAAAAGTATCAAAGTGCTCGGAGGTTATAGATACAAGCTAGTGCTTGGGTATTTAAAAAATTACACGAGTACATGAATACTGCCAAGAGCTCTACTTTTACTTTTTCATTCTCTGTTGCCATTAAGCGTCGAGGGGAGATGCACAATTTCTATGGTAGGCTAGCCTCCCAAAGTCCAATCCCTCGTTTCCGTTGGGGGATGTGGAAACAGGACAAAATAAAGGATAGCTGGGTCGGGTGAAGTACGGTGTGACCTTATGTCACTGAGGCGTTAGGCCGGTCCCAGAGTGGCTCTGTAGGTCTGACCTGTAGCTCGCCTAGCTCGCACGGTGCAAATGAACGTATCGTGCGCTGTGTGGTCTGTCTAATCTCAGCTAAGCTGCGCGACGCGCCAGACGTGCAATTCAACAGTGTTGTAAAACACGTCTGAGACATCTAGCTCGCAGCCTCACTTCGTTTATATTTTTGACTGAAAGTCTTCACAGATCACCAAAACCAGTAAGAAGTTAGTATTATTAGGTGCTTTACTATTAGATATTGATGTCAACACTTGAAAACAGAATCCCAAGAAATGCACTTTATCGTACATTAAAAATTTCGAATCGAGAGTTTGACCTAGTTTCGATTGTTTGTTTACATTCGTAGGCCTGTGTGCTTCTTGGCTTGAATCTAGATCTAGATTGATAGGCCTAGTTCAGGAGTTGAGATACAGAGCGATGTCACTAGAAATGCCTAATATTCTAGATATAGATAATAATAATTTACATCTGATCTAGATTTAGATTAATAGCATTCACATCAGAATCTATCTAGACCTAGACCTAGATCTAGATTCTATCTTAATACCTTATGTCCAGTGTCCGTAGACAAATCTCGAAGCAAGGGCCAGATCTAGGTAGGGATAAAAGAATATCGTACCGTATGAAAAGATTGGAATTATGTAAAAAGGAAAACAGACCAAACGAGCGAGGGCACAGGAGAGAATACGTTCAACTCTCACACAAGGTTCCCACAGCTCTTTAGAAAAGTCTTTAAATTAAAATGCTACTTCAGCTGTGCTGACACGCAGCGAGCGTGCGTGTTAACACGCAGATGGCGCGCGCTAGGCGAGCTACAGGTCAGATCACCTACAGAGCCACTCTGGGACCGGCCTTGTAGCCCGCCTAGCTCGCACCGTGCAAATGAACATACATTATCGTGTGCCTGAACAGCGTCGATGTGTGGTCTGTCTCTACAGTTGTCCGCTGACTGCGGAACGCGTCAGACGTGCTACTCAACAGTGTTGTAAAACACGTCGGACATGTGTAACATGCAGCTTCGCTTCGTGTTTGTTTTCAAAATCAGCAAGAAGTAAGTATTACTATGTGCTTCACTACAAGATATTGATGCTAGCATCAACATTTGACCACGAAATCCCAAGAAATGCATTTTATCCTACATTAAAATTTCGAATAGAGAGGTTGACCTAGTTTAGACTATTTGTTTACATTCGTAGGCCTGTGGGCTTTTCGCCTAATGCCTCTGTGCTGACACGCAGAGGGCGCTCACTCAGACTCAGAAACCAACGCACAGTGCGGCTGTGCTGACACGTAGACGGCGCACGCTTGACGAGCTGCATGTCAGACCTACAGAGTCACTCTGGGACCGGCCTTGTACTTGTAGCCCGCCTAGCTCGCACCGTGCAAATGAACATACATTATCGTGTGCCTGAACAGCGTCTCTGTGTGGTCTGTCTGTTGTCCGCTGAGCTGCGGAACGCGTCAGACG